TACCGCTTGGCGGTGGGCGTGTCTGAAGCTTGGGGATTTTTTACGAACAATGCGACCAACAACCAATCACATGAATGTCCCGCCCCGGACATACAAAGCAAAGCATTCATGCTACATCCATGCTGGCTAAATATACTGTCTATGCTTGCTAGCTGTCCATTCAAACGAAGTACACTGGCTATAAACCCCCCAAACAGGCGAAAACCTACCAGTTTCACCCACTGTCTCTGCCACCTCCCCCCATGCCTGGCTCCTCCGGTTTGTATCCCTGTATGTAAAGAGGGACTGGTCATAGAGTACCTTCCTCCTCCATTTTTTGACATATGGGAAATAACTGCGGTCTGGCTCTCCCAACATACACGCGGTTTGATTGGCTAGCGCTTGTGCTGTCAGATTTGCATACGCGGGATTTGATTGGCTGACGCCTCCGTCGAGGCGGCAAAAGTAGAACATTGCTCTACTTTTGCAGCGAGCACCGCGAGAGAAGCTACGCTTTGCTCCCACAATGCAGTTCGGCGAATCGTGACGTCACCCCATTCAAAGTGAATGGGCAGAAGCGTTGAAGCGGCAACGCACGCCGCCGTGTGTAGGCTCTTGGATGCTACGCATAGCATCGTTAGCACAGATGGAGCTACGATTGCTCAAATGCTAACCCAACTCTAAACATTCATTAACGTTAGCTTAATAAAAAAAACAGTAACATAACATAAAGTACGCAGGGTTGACTTACCGAAGAAACTGCATTCATGGACGGTCTGTTTCAACCGCAGATAAATCCTATATTTGCATGACGAATAGTCCACCAGGAACCAACACAACAAACACGGCCGAGTTCAAATAGTGTTCTCCTCATGCGCTGAGCCCCTGTAGCATCACGGAGCTAACAGTGAGACAGAGGAGCTAGGAGCAGCTAGGGTTGCCAACCGTCCCGAGCCGGGACGCCCCGTATTTGAGCCAAATGGGGCGTGTCCCGTACGGGACTTTGTTTGTCCCGGACTCCCGTGTAAAGGGAAAAATAAAATAAAAATTTCTGTTTGCGCGCAATGCAGTGTGTCTGGCTGCGTGCCTGTGTGTTTGTGTGCTGTATGCGCTAGGACCGCTCAGTTGACAGGGCAGGGACAATGCTCGCACGTGTGTGTGTGAGAGAGTCAGTCAGCTGATTGATGGGAAAATGCTGGGAAAATGGTTGGTTGAAGGATAACATTAAGTCTAATAATGATGTACCGTGCATGTTCACATCATGTATACTTTGCATTACTTAATACAATTTTTCATATATTTTATTTTTTAACATTTTGGACAAAATAGCCAATTGTACATCGAGGTGCCCAGATGTCCCTAGTGCCCACCTATCCGATTTGAACATGCTGATGTACAATGTGATGTAGTAGCCTAATGCAAGTGTAAGACCATTGTGTTTGTATTGTGTTATAGGTATGCATAGTTTTCTATGCATTTTGAGGGTTTTGGGGGGTTTGACCCCCAAAACATTTTTCGAACCCTAGGGGCTGGCTCCCCCAAAATAATTAAATAACATAACCCTAACCTAACCCTAAAACCGAAATAAAGTAACAAAAAAAAGTAACTAAATCCGCCAGAAACCCGAAAATCTTTGCGCGCGCGGGGGACACATACATGTGTCCCGTTTCTCCATTTCTGGAAGTTGGCAACCCTAGGAGCAGCAGTCCCGTTGTCATGAAGGGGGAATCTAACTATATACAGAATATGTTTTTGTGGATCCAGGCTAGAAACATGTTCATTTTCTGATGTTAAATTGGACATTTTAACATAGGGTCTACGGGAATTGCTCCCATCTGCATCCATCGCCTACAGTTTGCAGCATTGGGCTTCACCGCACTGTCCCGGGGTTTGCCGCTTGGCTCTGATAGGCCAGAAGTCGGTTTGATTGCATTCGGACTTGATTGCCTATCCTGTCTGAGTAGCCCGGATTTTTAACTTGAATTTTTAAATTTTTATTTCACATTGGTAAATTCGGAGCAAAAAAAATTCAGATACATGATTTTCAAAGTACTTATTTTCAATGCTATAAATTCGGTGTCTGATAAAATTCAAATACTTCTGTCTCTTGTTTACTTCCATAAAGCCCGCAAAAGCTGCACCGCATTTCGAGTCGATTGTGATTTATAAAGGGAAACCGGCGTAGGAAGTGCCGTACGCACTTTCCTCGGCGGTATGCAATGTTTTGTGAATCGGAAAATGTCGGAACATTTCTGTACCTATTTTTTGGATTTCTACTACGTAAGCAACCTTCCCACATGAATCCTACGCACGGCGTTATAAATGAGGCCCCTGGTAACGCTAAAAAACATTACATTTAGATTTTATGACAAAGTGTTTATTTAATATATCTGGCTAGCTATAGCTACTTGCTAATGGTTTAGCATAACAAAGTTGTTTCAAAGTAACGTCAACGTAGCTGTAATTTATGCTTTGCTTACATGTTCGCATAACTTGGAAGTTTACTGACATTTACATACCTTGTTTGCCTGGCTCAAGTGGTGGCTCTGGGGTTGTTGTGTGAGCCACCACTTAAGAACATTTTTTCTTAAAAAAGACGAAAATTCTCATGTCCATCTTCAAAAACTCTGAGTCCGACTGACAGTTTATTTTAAACATTGTCACAGCTCACAGGATAGGTACCTGTCAGCCAATAAGACAGATGTTTATTTCCATTCAACTCTCTTGTTGGTCTGGTGTCTTGCCTCTGTTGCATTCACTGAACACGGGAAATTACAATCCTGCCTTCCTCTCTAGTGTCATGATGAGGTTCAGGTAAAGCACGGTTAATGTATTATATTATTGACTCAATAATATAATACATGACTTTGAGAGTAGGCAATCTAGGCATATTAACACAATTAATTAAACATACTTATCACCGCTACGGTGTACTGAGATTTCTTTTTTTGTTGCTAGGGGGCCCCTTAGTGGCCACTTATGCCGCTTAATGGGTCGGGCCGGCTCTGCTCAACTCAGTATATTACATTCTTTAATTCAATAAAAACGACAAGTCCCTTTCTATCAGCTGTGCACCGTTATGGTGTAAATATAGCCTATCTACCAATTGTATCAAATATAAAAGTCAGCCAAATAACTATTGATACTGCAAGGAGACGTATTGTGTGAAGAGAGATTGAAGATGTAATGTAATTGCTGATATATTTATGATCCACCTCACGTACTCAGTTTCGGCGGCATTTCTTCCAGTTTGTCCAAAGGTCTTCTAATCAAGGCTCTATAAGTAGAGAACTACGGCAGATGTGTAATATTTAATGCAGCCGAACCGTGTATTACAATGCCGTTATGTGATGACTTCCAAAGAGAAAAGCAAGCACACTCGAAATAAAGTATTATTTAAAAAAAAAAAAAGTTTTCCGATTTAATATCGCATAAACACCATATCCCAACGTGCATTGCAGCTAAAACATCCAATCACCAAGCTTGAACGGTAGGTGAGGATTATGGTAGTTCGATGTTTTAGCCTATAAAAACCTCTAAAAAAGAAATGTGTCTCTCAGAATCGAAAGGGAAAAACCTATGGGAAAAACACAAAAGCAGTGTACATAATTTAAACCATTAATGTTGTGTAATTAACAAGGATAAACTGATGTTTTTTAGTGGATGAATACTGCAGATATCACTGTTAAATAATTTGATCATTGGTTTTATTATGAAAACTTCGAGACCGGAAATACTGTTTTCACCCCGTGAGGGTTGACGATAACTTTACATGGAAGCTGCCGCATATACATGTTCTTCTGGCGAAACCTCAAATCATCTTCGTAATATCTATCAAACTATAGATCCTACACATCCACAGGACGTGGATTCTAAAAGTACAATATACACTTCTTGCTAGAAATCTAATGAAAAAGCATTTTAATGGCCAAACTATCCGACAATTTAGGATTTTCCAGAGAGGGTTATTTGTGAATAAACGACCCTCTGTAAAGTTTGCAATCAACGGGAGCACTAGAGGTCGAAAACTTTAAAACGTGATTATAGGTCGTAATAAACGCTCGAACAAACTACCTATTTAGTCGTAATAAGGGCTTGAACAATCAACCTATTTGGTCGTATGAGTTGGAGGACTTGTGTAGATGTTAAAGAGAAGCCCCAAGATGGAGCCTTGAGGTACCCCACGTCATATTTGTCAACTCAGATGTGTATTTACCTATAGAAACAAAGTTGTTTCTGTCCTTTAAGTAGGATTCAAACCAATTTAGAACTGTTGCCGAAAGTCCCACCCAGTTTTCCAGTCGGTCTAGTAATATGTTGTGGTCAACAGTGTCAAACGCAGCACTGAGATCTAATAATACTAACACTGAAGTTCTGCCACTGTCTGTGTTTAAGTGGATGTCATTGAAGACCTTAACAAGAGCAGTCTCAGTGCTGTGGTCGAAAGCCTGACTGGAACACATCGAAACAGTTATTTCAATTCAAGAAACTAATCGACTGTTGAAAACCTACTTTTTCAATGATTTTACCTAGAAATGGGAGGTTTGATATGGGCCTGTAATTGTTCATTACTGAAGCATTCTAGATTGTTCTTTTTTTTTAAAAGAGCGATTTAATGACTGCAGTTTTCAGGGCCTGTGTAAAAACAGGTTTTACTATAGGAAGAAGATCTGAGGCTATGCAATGATCTCAGATCTTCTATAAAAATGTTCTTGATTTTGTCAGCACACTAGACATTTAGTTTGAGTTTTTTACACACTATACTATTTTTCTACGAATGTCAATTTTATCACTTTTTGTTTTAGACATACTACACTTTCACACAACACTATACATTTCAACATTTATTTTGAATTTTCAATATATACATTTCATATCCCTGCAAGCTGATTACTTACAGTATGTATTAGTATGATTATTATTAAGAACAAGATATACAGTATAAATAACACAAGCAATTATCTGAAGCTTCTTCTTTAAAGTTTGTTATGTCGTGCACAAACTCAGCACTAAAGACAAAGTGACAGATTCAAAAACCTTTTATTAGAACAATACAGCAGATATAAAGATCTATTGCAACCAAACACTCCCATCACAAATGGAACGTGTGCTTCAACAGACAGAACGCCCTCCCCATGAGAAAATAAATTAATATGAGATAGAGAATAAAGAAAAGAAAAGAAGAAATATGACAATGTGTTTGAATTCCTGCTCATAAAAAGCTGCCATCAAATAGAAAGGTACAAACCTACATTTTAAAAATAAATCATAGACATAGAGTTCATGATTAGCTAAGAATTTAAGTTTTTCCATCTTCAGGAGTGAGATTTTGGTATTAGCAGGAAACACATTTTTTATTATTTTATTTTCCAGGCAAAGTCTCCATATCTGAGGCGGACCCTGCTTTAGGAGACCCTCTACTGTTCTGAGGGGAGAGACCCTTGGTGCCCCCCTCACATGGCTAAAAGAGACAAACCATTGATAAATAATAGAAAAGGAAAAAAGAGAAATTAAAGCTTGAAATAATACCAAAAACAGCAGCAGATAAATAAAATACAACCCAATCCAAACGGGGTCTCCGAAGGACCTGCACTGTAATTACACTGCAGTTTAACAGAATGATAGACATAAGACTCAGGGGCCGTGTTTATACAAAATATCTCCAAGTTATCCATGATATGTTTGACAATGAATTAGAAAAGAATGAACTGGTTTTGGTGACATGGATTTCTTTTTATCTATACATCACAAGATCAAAGAAAATGGCTACATATCAGAGGACTGTTTTTACATCATGGTTGGACTTTAGATTTGGTTTTTAAGCAACAATGTTACCATGATCTGATATCTGACAGGTTTAAAGAGGAGAGGACCGGGTAGAGGACCACCTCCCCGCTGTGTCCTCGATTATATGTTAAGGTTGTCAGGTCAGAAGGTGTAGGTTACCACAGAGACAAACAGCAGCATGTTTAAAGCTGCTGGTAGACTATATGCAGATGTTATGTGTCTCCACCCTGCCTCCACCATGTTGATGAAGCACTTCCCTCCAACTGCAGTATTATAGACCCCCCCCCCCGACTGCTAGAGGAAGTGTAGATACAACACGCCCCCCTCCTCATTAACATATTCATTTATTTTGCCCTCATATTAGTTTTTTTTTTGTTGCATTTTTACATATTTCATACAAATCTATAACCCAAAATTTAGAAATCTTATTTACATGGAAAAGGTTTTTGTTTAACTTTTAAAAGAGACAATTACCCCCCACCCCCACCCTAACAACCTTCACAATCACAGAAGAAATACACTCATCTCTTTTATCATTATTGAGTACTCAGCAAACCCCCCCCCCCCAAATGTCCTCTTTTTTTTTTAAAAAGCCACAATTATGAATCCTTTTCAAATGAAAGCATCACACTCCTAAAGGTCAGACTCACACTGAGGCGAAACGGAGCATTATTGAGGTTGTGATGCCTCGCCACCCCCAACACAGACAGAGACACTTCCTGGAAAGAGCAGAGTCTCAAAAACTGGTTTAACTCACCCCCCCCATCCTGGAGAGGATTTATAATCAAAGTGCCAGAGGAGGGAGGGGGGGGGACAGACAGAGGGACAGAAAGACAATAAAAACCCTGGTCAGTCAGTTTTAATAGCGCCCACTGGGGGGCCCTCCTGTGTAGTGTGCACACACGCTGGTCCTCAGGTGAAGGGGGGGTGTGTGTGTGTTTGTTAGCTTTATGTGTGTGTGTTATTCTGTGCATATTATAAGAACCAGTGGTTCCCCGTAGTGTATGTGTGAGTGTAAGACTGAGTCAGTGTGTGTTAGAGGGTGTCGTCCTCAGCACACCCCCCCCCCTGCCTTGAGACGGAACTCCTGCAGGTTGGAGACGCCATGGAAATGAACGCACGCTCCGGCGACCACCAGGATGTGGAACAGCTGGTGGGAGTGGAACTGGGGAGGAGATTAGTCATTATTATTATTTATTTATTTAAAAAAAATGTTTTTCATTATTAAGATTTAGTTTAAATATGTTGTGTGTGTGTGTGTGTGTGTGTGTCTTACCCAGATGTCACACTTCCCGGGGAAGAACCTCTCTGGGATGCGGGCTGCGTACAGACAGGCTCCAGTGATGTAGAGCGTTGCCATGAGCAACAACCAGCCCATCTGCCCCATGGTGGTGGCTTTGATCAGACCCTCGCTGATGGTGAAGTGCAGGGTGGGGACCACGCCGCTGAGACCCAGGCCCACAAACACTCCTGAGCACAGACAGGGGGGGGGGGGCATTGTAAATGACAGTGTTTGGTTACGGCCACCAGGGGGCAGTGCAGCAGAGACACAGAGCAACACAAGCAGGAGTCATATTTCTGGTCACACTCAGTTTTGTCAGCAGCTAAATGCTCCATTTGTGCACCAGATAGTTCCTGTTGGCCAATCGGTGCAGAGCAGCTTTTTGTTGTGTTAAACAACACTAAAGACAGAGGTGAACCAGAGCTACCAGCTGGAAGATGCAGGGCTGAGAGGATTCTATGTGGGTCATCACTACGAGGGATCCACTTCACATCACTTATGATCATTGATCCATAGCTTATATAAAACATTGATTAGAGCAGCTTTTAAATCAATCTAAAATAAAAATATAATAGCTGTTGCATTCCTTCTTTTTGTAGCAGAAAGGAATGGCTCATGTGTTACCTGTCATCACGCTGCCTGTGATGATGTCATTATGTTTGTGAAGCACAGTGTCTGACGACATGCTGTGGTGCATATATTACATATGACATGAACATAATAAAAAACGTTTAGGAACTGGCTGACCATTTATTTTGAGTGGAAATAAAGGTTTGTATCATGTCACTGTACCTGCTCGGACCCCCCTGTACTGCGGCGTGGCGAAGAAGTCGCACTGGGACACGGTGATGGCGGACAGGCCCAGGATGCACACCACGATCAGGTAGATGAAGCGGGGCTGGGGGGAGCAGTAGAAGGAGTAATACAGCCAGGGCACGAAGGAGCCCATGATCAGGAAGGCGATCCCACTATAGTCCAACCTGAACACACACATGCACTGTTACAGATGCTGTACAAGGACGTCTTTTGAATGTACAGTCTTAGAAATCTGTGAGTTTCTGGGCTGTGGTCTTACTTGGAGAAGACCCTGGAGACGCCCTCGGAGTGACAGTAGACCGTGTGGAAGAGCCAGGAGAAGGAGAGGCAGAGAATGGCGCCCAGGAAGAACATCCCGATCACCACCTTCTCCTGGACCGGGGCCACGAAGGACATGTTGGGCCGGAACATGTACATCAGGCCCAGGAGGAGGAATAACAAACAGCCTGCGGAGAGAGAGACACGGAGACGCAGGGAGAACTAAATATGAATCAAGATACTACAGGCGCAGCTGTTCCCACTGAATCAACCAATTAAAGCCAGCTTATAAATTGTACAGACCTTGCTTACTCAAGCCACACAGACCAAAACAAGAAGTAATCACTATTAAAGATCAAATGCAAAGATTTTTTTATAATTGCCAGTAAAATCGAAATCATATAGCTACAACACTATCTAAGATATTGCAGTATTAAAATCGGAGATAATATGCGTCTGGCAATGCGCAATATTTATTTTGTTCAACCCCTAACACCAAGTCCGACGATTTATTTCTCAGCCGCTCGTCTCCGCAAGATGGCGTCACGTGACGTCAGAGTGGCCAAACATATTTCCACCTGGCTTATCGCTCACAGCTGCTTCCGCCGATAGTACAACTTAGTTTCGTTATCATGTCTGATTCTGAGTAGACTATAGACTAAAAGCTTTAGGAATCCAAACTATAACATATAATAAGTACCCTGTATCAAGATTGATGCAAAACAAGTGAAATTTGACCTTTTTAGAGAGGTTTAGAAAAATAAAGTCCAGGCGACCTCTGGGTAATTTGGGAACCATCAGTTCCATTTGAACTTTTTCACTGTAAAAATCATTTTATTACTTTGAATTATCACTATAGGTATTCATTCCATCCAAATACAACTGTTGTGAAAAAAAAATAAAACATACTCTGTTATCCTCTTAGCCCCACGGACCCGAAATCGCGTCATTTGCAGGAAACAACGTCTAAGGAACCTTAATATTTAATAAACTATGAATATTTCATATCCATATAACAGGGAAAAACTAATTTAACTGATCTTTTTCATTTATTTAAAAAAAAAAACACAATGCTAACAGTGAGCCTCTGAATTAGCCCCGAGCGAAAAATGCTAACCTATTACTGCACCGAAAATCACTCCTAGCTCCCTTATTACTTATCCTAGCTCCACATCCAACACATTGTTTATGATCGTAAAGACACAGAATCTAACGGTGCCCACCTCAACACTGAAAGATACAAACTCGCAAGGTTATCAACAAAAACGTACATCAAAACAAGTGGCGCTAGGTACTAACATGAGCTAGGCTTACCTTCCTCTTTGTCTGGTCTAAAATGGCATTAAAACGATAAAAACGATGATGTAGTTAATCCATAGGTTAATATCCAATGGGGCTGTGTCCCCTTTGAAATGTTCTGATAATCTATAAGCAATAAAACTGCAATTCCGTTATCTGCTGTCCGCTCTGTGCTCCGTGCGCTTTGAAATCAAATCAAAATTTGTTTACGTCAATTCTTTGGCGTTTCTGCATTGCCCGGCTCTTTCGTTCTTTCGGTTGCTTTTTGTGCTCAAATATGGAGGGGACGGCTCCGGGTTTCAGCCTCCGATGTACTTTAAATGCTTCTCCACCAACAGACTTGACGATGGCAGGATCAACATCGTATGCATCAGACGCAAAGTGGTCAAAGCACAACTTGCTCCATTTTGTCAGCTGCCAGCCAACACGATTCACTAAAATAATCCAGTTTCGGCGGATGATTTTGTCTTGGGGAAATGAATGAAAAATTCTCCCATATCCCGCACCGTTCGTACATCCGAAAGCACAACAATAACACATGTTTTGCGTGATTTCGCGGATATAATTCAGAGTTTTCTGCACCAGTCATGAGCGAAAAACACCGCTGACATGTGAACAGCGCACGAGACTGCCGAGTCGGGATATTTGACCCAGAGACTGTTTGGCCACAATGACGTCACACGCGCGAAGGCTGCTGGGAATGACATGTCAGAAATTCAGACGGCTTTGGGTCGAGTTTTGTATCAATAAAAAGCTTTTTTTCGGGTGTATTATCTCGATTTAAATTAAATAAAAATACAGGCAGTCTTAAAAACAACATTTCTATAAAAATGTAGCATATTTGGAAGCTTTGCATTTGACCTTTAACAGAGTCACACTAAAATGACCAAAGCATGTAGGTGCAGTATCTCTGTTGAACCACTAGGTGGGGGCAGAAGACGCCAAACTAGCTGCTAAACAATAACAGAAAGAGAAATGGATGTGTCGGCTTCAACAAAGTGTAAAACAACTTTAAATGAAAGTTAGCAAAACACAAATGCTGATTATTCTAACAAGCGCCGACCCAACATCAGAACTACTGCCCTGGTATCTGATGAAGGACTTGTTTTGGGAAGCTTTTTATACATGGTCTATTTTTATCACGGTACATATTATTTGCATTACCGGATTAATCTGTGTGTCATGCGACATAAATAAGTAAATATACATGGAGAGGAAGTTCTATGAGAGAGAGTGTTTGTACAGTAATGTGTTTGAGGGAAATTCCTGATCATATTCCTTGTTAGGATAGATAGATAGATATCTTCTATTACCATAAAGATATGTAAGAGGAATGATTGTGTTTTGAAACAGAAGTACGAGATAGCTCATTGACCAGCTGTTGAAGGGAGGCTGTAGGACAGTGATGGAGCAGAACCAGGACGCTACATATTGGTAAGTGAAGCTTGTGGGGAAGTAATACAAAGACAAATAATAAACAGCCTGACAGTGTAGTGTGTTCAGATGTGTGTCACTGTACAGTACTTTTAACAGATACTTTTCATGTTTGATAACTACAACCTAAGTGTTTGCCGATACTGAGACATTTGACTGAATGTAAAGCTAAGCCAGCCACCACATGAATCATACTGCTGCTTCTTGGTATTCAAACTTCCTGGAGTAGATTTATATCAAACCTTTTACAAATACAGCAACTGTAATTGTTTAGCACCATTTAAGATACTCATTAATTAAGTATTGAGAATGTCATATGAATGATGATTCAATACTCAAATGTGGCCTATACCTCAATGACATTTTGTGCGTGTGTGTGTGTGTGTGTGTGTATGTGTATGTGTGTGTGTGCACACTACCTAGCAGATGTGTCCAGATGTTTCCCGTCTCTGTGTGGATTCTGAAGATGCTCTTGAAGCAGGCGCGGAAAGAAGGCATGGGCGGCCTGTGGCCGTGAAGCAGGAAGTCGTTGTCCTTCAACCAATCAGGGAGCACGTCGTGAGGCATGACCCGCCACCGGCCTTCCCACACCTGATTGGTTAATAATGGACACAAATAGCAACACCATAAGTTTAGAAAACAACTGGAGTGAATGGAAAATGTTAAGGAATAAATGACCTCTAATCAAATTGTCCTTTAAGAGAAGCAGCTGTTTGTTTACTGAATGTCCTATAAATAGGATGTGTGTGTTTCTGTGTGTATGTGAGAGGGGAGTACAGTACGTGAGCACGAGTGTGTGTAGTGTCAAATGAACAGCATCGGGATCAAGTGGTGCAAATAAATTAACTGAAGTTGGATACATGCCGGCCTAAGGGAGAGAACAGAGAGAGAGAGACTCCTCTGAAAGGTTCTCTGCAGTGATTTATCTCCCTAATTTAAAACCTGCTGCTTGCCATTTTAGCAGGCTCTCAGTATACGTGTGTGTGTGTGTGTGTGTGTGTGTGTGTGTGTGTGTGTGTGTTAACATCAGTCCAAACTAGTGAGTCCATGCGAGTCCACCAGCAGTGTCCTATTTCAGACACTATAACTATAAACCTTAGTGTCACCCTACTTGTCCTTTTCATTAAAAAAACATCAAAGCACAAAATGTGCTGAATGTTTCGATCAAAGTAAATGTACTAAGGAGCAGGGTCTTTTTTTTATCAACTTTGCACTCCCAAATGACGCTGTAAAAAATGTCTTATCACTACTGTGCTGCTCGATTTCTGCAAGTAACTGCCAAGTACTTTTGATCTGTATAAGACATAAAGCAGAAGTTAAATAAATAAAAAGGTAAACCCCAGCCTATAAACTGTGCAATCGGGACACTAAACTCTGCTTTTATGTGTTTTATGGTTTAATTGGGTTCTTTTACTATGGGGCTTTATTGAATGTTGATTTAAAAGCATCTTGGTAGAACAAACATTGCTCTAAGGGATATTGACTTATTTATGGGCGGTGTGTATAGATAAGTAAATAAGTGAGTTCCTTACCTTGTGTACAAACTCCTCCATCCTCTCCATGGCGTGGTGAGCCTGCAGCAGGGGGGTCATCCCCATGAACCCTTCATCACTGCTCTTCCCCTCCTCTTCCTCCTTCTCCTCCCCTTCTCTTCCTCTGTCGTCCTCTTCACTTTTTCTCCTCTCGTCATCGCCCTCTGGGACCCTCTGAGAGCAAAACAAACACACACATGGTCAGGACTCAGGGCTTTTAGAGGACTGGTGTTGTTTGAAAACAGCTACAAAATGTGGTCTCTGTCAAATAAACACCAAAAAGGCAAACTTTAAACTTGTGTTATTTAAATTCTTGGGTTATTTGAGCTTTATTTGAATACTTAATGTTCGTGTCACTGGAAGACTGAGGTGTTATTTGAACCTCTACATGCCATCCATATGAATATTGATCATTTTGCACAAGCTGCTGCTGACCAGAAACACAGGTTTGTTTTTGGTATCATAGGAAAATACAGTATGGATAAAGATTATAAATTAGGTTTTCTGCTAACATTTTTATACAGTTCAATTCCCCCTGTTGCCATGCTCTAATGCAGCGGTTCTCAAACTTTTCTCAATAATGTACCTCCTTTGAAAAAGAAATTCAGCCATGTACCCCCTGATCAGCGCAAAAACTATTTGTTAGGGAAAAAATGCCTATATAAAGAGGTACAGTACAGCGCTGCACCATCGGTGTCTGATTTATTAAAACAACAACAGTAACTGAGAAACACTTAAATGCTACATTTCAAATGTTTACAATCCATCACTAAATTCATGGCAAACCAATTTTAACATCAAGCAATAACACTAAGACGACATTAGTTGCATTGAACTGATCTTATTAATAAGTTGTACTTACAATGTAGTGAAACATGGGCTTGTGCTTTACTGAGGATCTTTGTCATTCTGACAGGGAGGCAAACTGCAGTGATTACACTTCGCGTTTTGAAATGTGTGTAACTCTATTAATATAAAACCCACACTGCTCAAACTTTGTTACTTTTCCTAAAATTGGTATATTTATTTAATTTATTTATATATTTATTTTTATTTATTTATTTATTATATTTGGGGGAATGAAGAGAAAAAAAAGATATGAGCATTTATACCTATAACCGTCAGACGGGATTTTGACCCCTCATATAAACATAGCCTATGGATAATGCTGAGCTATACTTTGCGGCCACACCCCGTTGCCAAGCAACGCTTATTGTTTAGGTGTCCTTTGATACTGACGGGCTGTCAGGAGAGGGAGAGGAAAAGAGAGCACCCCGTTTATTTTTCCCATTTTATTATCCAGAATTACTGTAAACTTTTGAATAAAGTAGTTAATCTACTATTAGTAGTTTGTTTAAATGTATTACTTGTGTTGTTTTTTCATTAACATAAAATAAATCTCACGTACCCCCTGCAGTACTCCAACGTACCCCTAGGGGTCCGCGTACCCCCATTTGAGAACCACTGCTCTAATGTTCTAAGTAAGAGGTCTTTATTTTTCTCATACTGCCTGTGCTGCAGTCCACTTTGCTCTATAATATTAATCACCTCAGATCTATCTGGATAACCAATGGGATGGCTCGGAATCCTAGGTTATGAAAGTTGTCTTGAAGAGTCAATGTAAACCTGATCAAGTAGCAATTAGAAATGGTTGGATGAGCAGGGGGGGGGGGGGGGGATTACTGCTGATTGTAGTGATTACTGTGCATTTGCATATAACTGCATGCAAGCAAATCAGGGGTTTAGAATTATCAGAGCAAAACACATGAAAACAGAGTATTTAAAGAAACTAGAGAATGCAATTCCTGAAGAAATTGCTAGTGGGGAATGCTTTATGCTGAAAAGCTGGCGCTAAACTGCTATGCTGAAATGTAATGTGTAAGAAGAAAGTGAAGAATTTAGATTGAAATGATACATGAACACTGGGGGCTTGAATATGTGATGAGAGAAGAAAAGAAAGTAAAAAGGCTTGGAAAAGCAGCAGAATATTTGAACTAGAAACTTTTTAACTAACTTGATGGCGAATGATCTGTCGCCATGCCAACGGCATTTGATGACATCCCATAATACGCTTAGATGCGTGGATGGCTGCATCGTTACCAAACCACGTTTTGGGCCGTTTGGAGTATTTTCACTGAAGTTATGAGAAAACCGTGTGTCATGGTGAGCATTGTGTTGCCGTGGCAACGGCATTGGAAGAAATCTCAAAACTGTCCCGTAGATGTCTTCACGGCTGGACTGTTAGCACACGTGAAGTTTGAGCACTTTTTGAACATTTTCATAGGAGTTATAGCGACATCGAGGGATGCGACACACACACACACACACACACACACACACACACACACACACACACACACACACACACACACACACACACACCCACACACACACACACACACACACACACACACACACACACACACACACACACACACACACACACACTACACACACACACACACACACACACACACACACACACACACACACACACACACACACACACACACACACCACACACACACACACACACACACACACACACACACACACACACACACACACCACACACACACACACACACACACACACACACACACACACACACACACACACACACACACACACTATTTTTTCACAAATTATATTACATAATACAGAGAATCAAATATATCGGGGCTAAGCAGCACAGAACACTTAGGGGAACACATAGCATCTCCTTCTCCACACGGCTAAGCTGCCAATAATAGCTGAAACAGAGCAATATTTGTTTGGCTTTTCTCTTTGACATTCCAGCAATTCTCAGACCAATCATGGTGCATTTATCAGGGTTCTTACACCTTTTCCAAAGTCAAATTCAAGCACTTTTCAAGCATTTTCAAGGTGCATTTTCCAGCTTTTCAAGCATCTTACAGCTGTTGTAAATTACATATTTATATACACATACTCAAATGATTATTTCCCTACCTCACATTAAATCAGATGTTCTTTATGCTACCAAATGTGTGTTTCGTGATAGCCTTCTACACGAGGATGAAAAATTAAAGAAAAGAAAACTAAGTTCAATATTTCAAAATGAGTGACCCATCTGTATGTCCCATATAACCTGTCTGAGCCAATATAAAACAATCAGCCAAATAACTTTTCAATACATTATTGATTACTATTTTTGAGGTACTTTTAGGTTGGCAGTCAAGTCAGAGGTACATGGTGTACTTCTACTCCACTACAGTTCAGAGGTACATGGTGTACTTCTACTCCACAACAGTTCAGAGGTACATGGTGTACTTCTACTCCACAACAGTTCAGAGGTACATGGTGTACTTCTACTCCACAACAGTTCAGAGGTACATGGTGTACTTCTACTCCACTACAGTTCAGAGGTACATGGTGTACTTCTACTCCACTACAGTTCAGAGGTACATGGTGTACTTCTACTCCTCTACAGTTCAGAGGTACATGGTGTACTTCTACTCCACAACAGTTCAGAGGTACATGGTGTACTTCTACTCCACTACATGTATTTAATACCTTTAGTTACTTCACAGATGTGGATTAATGATGTGAAATATAATCAAGTGTTAAATCAGACTTTAGTTCCACCTGGAGTAAATCCACCAGCTACCCTGCAGTATACAAAGTCATTCAAACTAGCTGCACCTTTACCAGCTTTGAGAACACTTTCATGATCAATCATTATAAAACATATCATATTATGAAATGGACCAATCTGCACAACGACTACTTTTACTGTCGCTACTTTAACTATATTTGGATGAGAATACTTTTCTACTTTCACTTGAGGAATATTTTGAATGCAGGACTTTTACTGTGACTACACTCTGGTACTTCTACTTTTGCTAAGTACAAGATCTGAGTACTTATAATTTCACTACAAGATCTGAGTACTTATAATTTCACTACAAGATCTGAGTACTTATAATTTCACTACAAGATCTGAGTACTTATACTTTTACTCAAGTACAATACCTGAGTACTTATTCCACCTCTGGTAGTGTATTAGCCTGAATTGTAGCCACAAAATCACGCAGAGCTGCATAGAAATAGACTCACAATGGTAACAAGTGGAAAATAATATTTACAAATGTGTACAATGATTTGTAGGCAATTTTGACTACTCAAGACACCTGACTTATACATCTTCAAAGGAAGACTGTGTTAATTCTACAATTACATGGGATTAAAGCAACATGTACAGGGCTGCACATAACTGGTGCGCATGCGCACCTCCGCCAAAAAAAGAGCACCGGGTCATTTGAAACAAAGCGCATTTGCGTACCAACATTGAGAAGGAGAGAGAGAAGAGAAAAGAGAAAATAGAGGAGAGAGGAGAGATGAGAGAGAGAGAAGAGAGAGAGAGAGAGAAAGATATTTGCGAGTTGCATATGAACCATGATATGAACTCAGGGCCGACCCGTAGCACTGGCTAGATGTTCGCCTGGGGCGCCAGATCTGTGGAGGCGCTGCGCTGGCAGTTCTGGGAGGGAAAACAACATTTTGACCGTTGGGGCACATCCTAATTTTCTGCCTTGATGTAACAATATTCATAATTAAGTAAATGTAACACCCTTTTCACCCCGGTTCCACCTTTCATTTGCCCTGTACGATGGGCGCTGTAAGTGATGAAAATGGGGGATGTTGGCTTATCTGGCGCCCGCAGCTCACAGACAAAATGCGAGTGAGCGAGGGAGAGAGGGAGGGTGGTACCAGCGCTGTTATTATAATCTGGTGCCGTGCTAGCTGCTCTAACGGAGATAAGAAGAAGATGTTTCTACAATAATGTGGAGGGAGAGTCCTCTCCAGTCAGACTGAGAGACTGATAAGTTAACTACAGCTCAGTGAGGTAAAGGACTCTTAGTCTAAATTCAAACGGTTTGGTCACAATTTATGTAAACACATATTTCCAAGGCACTCCTTTGTAATTATTAGGATAAACAGGTTTTAAATCATTCCAATGCATACTATAGGACAGTAACCAAAAATATCCTTTAAAACTGGAGATAAAAAAAAAATGCATAAATAAATAAATGTTAAGGTAAAATAAGATATGAATGAACAACACAAATAAAATAAGTTACATTAATTTGTTATTGGCTATGGTAGGTTATTGGTTATGTTCACATACTTATTTGATTACATCCACTTGTCTA